AAATAACTATTCTCAAAACCCTACCTGCAAATATATTTATATTTCACAACACATGTTTCGTGTTTCAGGTTTTACATTTTTGACTAGTAATTGAGTACACGAATTATGTTCGATATTTTAGAACTCGAGCGAGAACGTTTTTATCCCTGGTGGTGGGGAACGACGAAGAGCAGGAGGAAAGAAGGGCTTACTCACACACACCCCCGCACACAAGACTTAGGCTTTCGTGTCTGAGGATGTTCACCCTGTGCCTTAGAGCATGATGGGTGCAGGGATAGTGTTTTGTACTTGAATTACAGTACGCGCCAGAATTCGTTCAACATGCCGAAATAAGCGAAAGATTGATACTCTTTCGCTAATCGGCATTGACTTAGGCTGTGATACTGATTACCGTGTAAGGTATTCTGAAGCTATTTCAGTCATGATAGGATGCTGGCTTATTAACGACCTTCGTTCTGACCATTAACAAAACGTATGTACTGTAAAAAGTAACTGCCTATATAGTCTGCGTTTTTATCATTGATTTTGACTGCCTTAATAAATTCAAATATATTTTATGGAAAACATAAACAAAAAGTTATTTCTTATACTCGTTTGGTAGCAATTTACACCTTCTTTAAATTAAATACTTAAAGAAAGGCTACCTTTCGGTTTTAGAAAAAATGTCTAATTATGGGCTTTTTTTACGATTGTGAGGTGTTCGTTCACGATACCTCGTATCCGTCAATTTATTAATGCTGTCTATAGTGTATAAAGCATGCTCCACATCTATTGCAACATTTTATGAGAACTATATGACTTCTTCCTCAAACTGTAGATGAAAACGTACTTTTCCTCAAACAGAATTTACGCAGTGCGCAATTTTCAAATCTTGAATTCTCGTGTAGCAGTCAGTAGGTTTAAAAATTATTTGGCAATGTATAAACTTTTTAAAACCAAAACATACCCTTTCTTTCAATAAAAAATTTAAATAAGGCGTAATTTGCTACCAAACGAGTACAAGAAATAATTTTCGTGCATGTTTTCCATAGAATATATTTGAATTTATAGAGGCATTCAAAATCAATGATAAAAACGCATACTAGTTAAGTAGTTACCTTTTACAGTACATACGTTTTGTTAGTGGTCAGAACGAAGCTCGTTAAAAAGCGCGCATCCTAGCATGACTGAAATAACTTCGGAACAGACTACACGATAATCAGTATTACAACCTGAGCCAATGCCGATTAGCGAAAGAGTATCAATCTTTCACATATTTCGGCATATTGCACGAATTCTGGCGCGTACTGTAGTTTATAGTAATAGCGGACTTTCGCATCTTATATCAAACTATTTCATTCCTCACTCACATGGGCGCGATAACAAGAGAAGGTCAAGAGGAAAGAAGAGGGTATTGGGCACGGGTGACTGGTGCGGCGTGAGACTACACCTAGATGGACTACTATAGCCCTCATGTGCGGCATCTTTTTATGGGTGTGTATTCCGAACAAAGCCTGTCGTGTCTCCTTCTGCCCCCCCCCGTGTTGGCCCAGCGCTTCTACCACTTGGCCAGTTGTAGGAGCCAACACACACACACGACAGTTTGACTTTTGCATCCAATGTGGTCCACCATGTGCCCCCCCCCGCCTAAAAAAGGTGGCTCAGGGATGGTGACTTGCACGTGAACTTGATTATAGACCTAGGCCGCAGCTACAACACTCTCTCCTCCTCCCCACCTGGGCCCAGCGTTATCACTTGTTCAAGAAAACTAGAAGCAGTAGAGGTCGCAGATAGCTGGCGTGGCGGTAACCATCCCTAAGTGTGACAGCACACCTAACTCGGGTCCCACGTAGTCGGAATGCCATAGAGGCCGCGTAAAGAAAGAGCTATTGCAACCTGACGTCCAGTCCACCAACCCGCTGACCGCACGGTCCGATTTATGGAGTCAATTGGTTTTCTTCCAAGCCTGGCTTTTAGCGCAACGTGATAGCGTTAAGCGTGTCAGATTGTTTATAGAGAGAAATAAGTGCTGGGTGGTTGACCTCACTGTACATTTCCATTACCAGGCCCCAGCCCCTGTCCAAGTCGGTCAGTTGTCTGGTGCGGAGACTGGACGCAGTGTCCGATATAGCAAGTGACCTCGTCTGCGTATGCCACCACACGGCCTGGCCAGCTAAACACTAGCAGCAGCATTTTAAGCAAAAGGCGTTAGTGGATAGGATATTGTATGTGTGAGGATGTTACAC